CCAACCGGGGCGGCGGGCGCAGGGGGTGATGTCCCCCCAGCGCCCGAATAAAGTCGAAGGTGCCAAGCACCGCCCGGGGTCACGTCGTCTCTCAAACGACGCCATAAAAATCCCCGGGCGGAAATAGAAGTCGGCAATAAGCCGACTGGCCTGAGGGACTCCCAGAAGTATGCTGCACGCGTTCCTGGGAGTCCCTTATGCAAGGCCAGGTAAGGACACTCGGAGGGGTTTTAGTGGGTGCAAGCCCCACATAACCCCGGACTCTCCCGAGGCCCGGGGTATGCGTCAGGCATTTCCCCTCCGTTATCAAAAAAAAAAAAAAAAAAAAAAAGGTTATATTCAAAATCAGATTTTATATTCAAGACAGTGACGTTTGACACGGTCACCTTTGATTCGGTTTAACAATATCCGTAGTTGAAAACTAATCAATCACAATCACTCCATTCTTTAGAGGAATAGCTATAATTGGTCAGTTTCATAACTACAGATATTATTAAACCCCTAATGTCCGATTGCATCAACGTTACTTTGACTTTAAGCGAGACTTAAAACTTTCTCCATCTCGTTTTAAAACCGAAAAGAAACAGGAACAAAGAGAGTTTTAAGCTTCGCTTAAAATTAAAGTAACGTTAATCGGACCTATAGATGCTCTGTAAGGGCTGCTGCACACAAAATTTCTAATAGTGACCGTAAACTTAAGCCGATGAGCTAATTAGGATATTGCTTTAGATCGACGTAATCTAACGGAAATGGAAATAATAGTAAACTTATCAGTCCTTAGGGTGAAATTATACGGTGCTGAAAAGGGCTGCGAAACAGAGAATATGTCATTAAAACAACCAATTAATGTTATTCGAAATAACGCAGAATAACGCTGATTGGTTACTTCTATAACGCATTCTCAATTCTGCAGTCGTTTTCCGAACCGTATGATTTCACCCTTAGGATTATCAGACACAAAATGATAGCTGTGTTTCAAAATTTACGGCCTGCACTAAAAATCTATAGTTTATGTCATGTGTTCTATAGATTTCAGTACTAGTAATAAATTTTGCCTAAAGGTCATGGCACACACCTTCCGTAATAATAACCATAAGATATATTGTAAGAATCAGTCAATCACAATCGAAAATTCTTTTGAACTCTTAATTTTAATTGGCTGATTCTTATGATTACTGTTATGGAAGGTAAGCCATGAGAATAAATTCTGTATCTTGAAAATTATAAAAGTGAGCGAATTTACTAGAATACTGATTATTTCATTGGTACCTAGTAAATTTGCTCACTTTTGTAATTTTTATCTTGTTCGAAGATACAAAATCGACCCCATGACTTCAAGAGTCGCCGCACATAAAAGTTTTGTAACAGTAACTTTAAGACGTGAATTTAAGTCGCTGAGCCATTCAAGATACTGCTTTAGATCTACGTACTCTAACGGAAATAAAAATATTGGGTCATCTAAAAAGTATCCGCGGTTTTTTGTCACTAGATGTGTGTTGATGGTCATATATCTAGTGACAAAGTACCGCGGATACTTTTTAGATGACCCAATACTTTTGTGATACATGAGCTGACATAAGCCGTTTGCGCTTTTCTAATAAATCTAGAGATTTGTTCGCGTCGCATTCTCCAACATGCGGCTCCACCAATGTGCTCCTATCATAGCTCCTACTCACTCCAATACACTCAGAGTGAGTGTGAACTATGACAGGAGTATGTTGAAGTATGTTGGAGCATGCGACGCGAACAAACTTAGGATTCCAGCATGCTTCCAACATCTTTCATAGCTCCTACACACTTCAACGAACGCGTTAGAGTGAGTAGATGCTATGATAGGAGCATGATAGAGCATGTTAAAGCATGCGACGCGATCAAATCTCTTGCGGAATGAATCTATAAATATTTGTTGTTAGTAATGTGTATTCTTCTAGATCATCCAATAGCAGTGAGCGCTTATGAGTCCGCTGCGTAACAGTTGAGTTTGGTGAACGCATTAGCTTAATGTTTTGGAACGCGCTCTTGAAGGCAATAGGTTTGTTCGAATCGAGCGTCGAGCGTCAGCATGAAAATGCAGCCTTATGACTAAGAGTCTATGCTCTCCGCTTTAATATAACTCCTGCTAAATTAAAACATTTGAAAATCACACGTTAATATTTCTGGGCGATAGTGTTAATATATTCATATTTTATTCGTTACAATCGTGATTTCTTATTGAGAAATAGTAATAATGTTTGCGTTCGTTCGGTTTACTGATGAGATATATTATATATGTAACTCCAAAAATGTGATGAAATATGAAAACGCATATGTAGCAAAATATAAATGTGACAGAAGACTTGTGATATTTTGGCACAATATAATACGTAATTATGTGAAAAACATATCTTATGTAAAAAGAATTATTACTACACAGAATCGTTTATTACATATTTATGTTATAGGAAACTTCGATGTACTTAATACTATTAAAAAAATCACTTGTTGCAAACATACCTACAGTTAAGTTACAAGATATTAAATCGATCATGCGTTCTAATGTATTGGATGAAAATGAAGGTAAGGTTAATATTTCTTTATACTCGAATCTTTTAAGATCGTCTAATCAGTCTAATGCAATTAAAATATTAATGATTACAAAGCTGGAAATGAAAATTTTCACTGTTGCCACAATTCCTATTTATCAAGTTTTTCTTTTACATTAAATTCATATTTCATTCTTATTTCATAATTCTTGTAATTCTTTATATTAACCTTCCATGTTTTTTTGCTGTTTTCCTAATTCCACTGTTGAATTGTTTTTAAAAGGTTTTTTGAACTCTAAATATCATAAAAAATTCTTATAAATTTTTTTGATGTTCAATGATATGATTTTATCATAATATGATCCAAAATGTTTTTTATTTTGTTTAGTATGTCAATTTGAGATAGAATAATTTAAAATTGAAAATTCACATGGGTTTTCAAAGTCTTGATTGGAGTTAATATATGAAAATAGTCTGAAAAAAAAAATGTTAGCTGAAAAATTTGAAAGTGAATTTTTCAGCTAACATATTGAAAAACTACTGAAATTCAACTGAAATTTCTCTGAAATTTTTGCTGAAATTTGTTTAAAAATTTTGCTGAAATCTTTCTGGAATTTTATCGAAAATGAATTTTTCAACTAAAAATCGCTGAAATTAAACTGAAATTTTTTTGAAAAGCTAAAATTTTGAAAGTTTTGAAAAGTGTTTCAAAACGTGGAATAATTTCAGCAACATTTTTCCAGGGAATTCAAGGAATTTTGTAACTGCAATTGAAGAAATATGAGCTGATGCATTGTCATGATGAAACCAAAAGTTGATTACTTTACACGACAAAAACAAAGAATCTAATGAACATATCTATCTGAAATTTTAACAATATCACATGATCCTGTGGAGGATCAAACTTGTTTAAAATTATAGCAGCATAATATTTGTGGCATTGTTTCTGTGTCAGGCCGAGAATTTTTCAGACTATCGTTGGAATAAAAAAAAATTGGTATTGTTTACATATTTGATGCTAACGAAATTATTTTATAATTCTTGTTTTATTTTTTCAAAGAAAATTGTAACGATAATATAATTACATCTTTATATGTATGTAGAAAGTGTGAAGCCTTCTTCTGCAATAAAAAGAAATTTGATATACAACAATCCTATAACAAAGTTAAAAACTATAGATGGCTATAAATCTAATAAAATTATGCAACAAAAGCTTCGAATAATTAAGTATGAGAAACTACTCAATAACATAAAAATAATCAAATCACCCTCACATGATCATTATGATCAAGAGAAATCAACGACTGCATCTGAAACGAATAATATCCCTGGTACGAAAACAAATTCAAATTTATTGTAAAAGTTATTTCATCAATATATCAATTTACTTTAATTCATTAGCTTAAATATTGCAATACAGATAATTATTATAATAAAATTAGAATTAAACTTACGTTCTTAATATTGTAATTTTTATAAAGATTAGTATTTTAAATATAAACTATTATATGTATATACATTTATAGATACGAATCTCGCAAGTATTGACTTATCAAATTGTCCATTACAAATAGTTACGATGAATAATTATAAATGCACTGGTTTCGAAATAATTGAAAAGGTAGCATTAGAAATATTTGATATTCCAAAAGAAAAAGATATATCCTTTGAGAAATCAATTGGAGATGACTGTGAATATGTTTAAATATGTGGATTATTTCTGTGAATGTTAAACACATTCAGTCTTCTTTTTTATTACATGCTTTCATTTTAGCTCAATTTACTTATGTTAATATATATTTAGATTATTTTATATATATCAAATTTAATCTTTTCAGCTGTTTCTGAATGTTTATTTTTTATTGCCTTTCTCAGTATTGTTAATGTATTCTTTGAACTTTATAATAATTTATTAAAATTATTAAATTTATTATAAAGTTCAGAGAATACTGATAAAGGCAATAAAAGAAATAAAAATATAGAAACAGCCGAAAAAAAATAAATTTAATGTGTAAAATGATCTAAGCTAACATAAGTAAATTAAGCTAAAATGAAAGTATGTAATAAATTAAGCCCAATCATTAATTATTTAGTTTGAATGTTCAAATGAATAGAACAATATTTTAATATTAAAAATGAGTAATAAACCACACGTCAATTAAATATTGCCAGATTTCTGTAAGATGTACATAATGTAAAAATGTCATTATTAAAATTATTTAAAATTTATTAAAATTATTTAGTAGTGACATTTTTACGTTATGTTCTCTTACAGAAATTTGGTAGTATTTAATTGGCGTGTGATTAATTACTCATTTTTAATATTAAAATATTATTCTATTCATTTTAACATTCAAAGTCAATAATTAATGATTGAGCCTAATTTAATACTACAATTAAAAGTATTAAAAAGGCTCTATAACAAAAGGTAGTACAAGAAGGGTAAAGAGCCAATAACGTATAAACGAATTTTAATTTAAATAAGCAAAATTAATACAAAACAACTAAAATAAACAAACGTTTCAACTCCAATCGAGTCACTTTCAATGTAATCTTACAATAATATAAACATCGTTCTAAATTAAAAATCTGTACATGGTCTTACAATATTCTTACAATTCCTTAATATTATATAAAATTTTTCTTTCTGTGTAATATGCTGCGAGTCATTTTTATCAAGAATTAACAAAGTCAAAGAAAATTCTGGAAAAATAACTGTGAACAAAAAGAATTAATATTAATTACATAAAAATTAATAATATGATAATGTACCTTAGTAAATATGTTAAGAGTCCAATAATACATAACGAGAAAAAAATGTAGACTGTACTCCATTTCGTGGTACAATATAATAGTCTTTTTATTTTATAAGTTATTATAAGCAAATTTGCAAAGGTGATATTATCTTAGCTGCTCTGTCTAAAAGTGTTTGTGATATTTTGGATATTTTTAATTCGTTGCACACTAGATTGTAGTTCACCATGGAAATTGGCCTTGATGAAAAAATAAGTTTTTTAGATACGATGTTGATTATTGAAGAATGAAATCTTATTTTTGATATATATCGTAAAACAACCTTTTCCGATAGATTTCTTAATTTTCATTCACACCATCCACTTTATCATAAAAGAGGTGTAATTTATGGAGTTGTGGATAAGATTTTTTGTTTGTGTCATCCGAAATTCCAACGAAATAATTTGATTGACGCTATTAAAATTTTTTTACAGAATGAGTATCCGTTGCGTTTATTTTTTCCACTTCATAATAGAATTAAATATCACATTAATAAGATTAATAATTTGAATAAGAATAAGGATGACACTGAGAGATTTTTTACGATTCCATATGTTAATACGATATCCGAAAGATTTATACCTATTGTTAACATGTTTAATTGTAAATTGACTTTTACCATTCCTAAGTAATTTACATTAAGAAGTTTCATAAAGAGAGGAAAGGATGATTTAGAACACGTTCAGAATCAAAATGTGATCTACAGAATATCTTGCGAGGATTGTGATGTCAGTTATGTTGGCCAAACTAAAAGACAATTAAAGACCAGATTGCATGAACATGTTTCTGATATCAATATAAGTTCAAAATCTCTTATTAGTGATTTCCAACCATCGTATTGAGGAGAATCATAACTTTAAATGGGATAAAGTGGATATATTAGATGTAGAGTCTTCGTATAATAAAAGGTTGATATCTGAAATGGTCCATGTTAAAAAACAGAAACATGGAATAAATAGACAAAATGACACGAAGTCTTTGCCGGAATTGTATTCTGACATTATATATTCTCTTTTTCCTTCCTAATATTTTCTCTCTTTTTTTCCCCTATTTTGCCGTTTTTCGTTCTCGATAATGTTTTTCTGCTTGACATTTCATTACTTGACATCGTGGAAGTCAGATGCTTGTTACCTTTGCAAATTTGCTTATAATAACTTATAAAATAAAAAGACTATTATATTGTACCACGAAATGGACTACAGTCTATATTTTTTTCTCGTTATGTATTATTGGACTCTTAAAGATTTACTAAGGTACATTATCATATTATTAATTTTTATGTAATTAATATTAATTCTTTTTGTTCACGGTT